TGAGGGGTCCTCCATCTAAGTGTGCGCTCACGGCCTCTGAGGGGTCCCCCATCAAAGTGTGTGCTCACGGCCTCTGAGGGGTCCCCCATCTAAGTGAGGTGACACTGTGGCAATCACATCCCACTACATAGTTGAGCCTTGAAGTCACATTCTAAAGGGATCCCAGCCAAGGAGGGAGCGTCAGATTGAAGACAGACAGAATGGTGACGGATTAAAAGAAATCGTATGGGAGGAGGGACTATATGAGCAATGGGATTCAAGATCATGACGGGGAAATCTACAGAGACAGTTGGACCAAGTGGGATCTCATGCATTCTAGATGGACAGCTGTGGAGCCTGCAAGGGACTTAACTAGGGCCTCTGCATGTGGGAGACAGTTGTGGAGCTTGGTCTATCTGAGGAACCCTTGGCAGTGGGACCAGGTTCTATCCCTGGTGTATGAGCTGGCTTTTTGGAGCCCATTCTCTATGGTGGGATGCCTTGCTCAGCCTTGATGCATTATTGAGGGATCTTGGTCCTGCCTCAACTTAATGTGCCAGGCTTCATTGGCTCCACATGGGAGGGCTTACCCTTTGGAAGGAGTAGATGGGGGGTGGGCTGGATAGGAAGCAAAGAGGGGAGAAGGGAGGAGAAGTGGGTGGGAGAACTGTGGCTAGAGAGTAAAAGGAATAAAAATAAATAAATAATAAAAGAAATTACATTTGAGAGGAGCTGATAAGAATATAAGAATATGATATTGACTTGGAGACAAAAATATTTAAGGGAACATGTTAACTGCCTTCAGCTGTTCGAAGAGGCCACAAGATACTTAAGCAACCTGTGATGTCCCATCTCCGCCAGGTATGTTCTCTGTGTGTAGTGTGGGGAGTAGGATAGAGGTCAGAGGTTCAGCCTTTTATGAGAAAGGTGCTTTAACAGAGAAAGTCTCCAAATGCAATGGCTTGTATTTAGAAACTGCTTGCTTGAGTCTTAGTGGCTACATTGTTTGTTCTAACTAAACTTCTTTATTAAAGGTGAACAACAAAACAAAGCAATGCTCATGAGTCACTGGAGCACATAGGTCAAAGAGAAATTTCCTATGGGAGTTTAGAAGAGCTAAACTGGACTTCCTTCTATACATTCTTAATTACTCAATCGATGAATGGATAAATTAATTAATACTGCAGGATTGATGATGAAACTCAAGTGCGTTCTAGAAGGGCTGTACCACTAGGCTAAATTCCCAGCCCTCACTATCTTTTTTTATTTGACTGTGAGACAAGGTCCTGCTCCTGAGACAGGGTCCTGATATGTAACCTGGAACTCTCAGTCCTGCTTCGTTGCTGGAATTGCAGTATGTACCATCCTGCATCTTGCATTGAGCAGCATCGCTGTCAGATGCTGTCACTAGATGAACAATGATGCTCAGGCTATCAAATAACTGGCCCTTGGCCAACCTGGTATTTTCTGTGTGATACCCCTGTTTTTTTTTTTT